CTTAAGTTCAGTGCAGGAGGAGTTTGCAAATCTAGATTTATCAGAGAAGGAGTTAGGTCCTCAAGAGGAGGAGGAGCTTGAGGAGGCGGCCGCTAGATATGAGAAAGAACGGCATGACCGAAGGTGGGGCAATGATGATGTGTTTACGAAGGGAAACGGAAGACCCATGGCACCTGTGGCTTCCGCCCCTCCCTCGTCCGCCCAACCCCACTCACGTACTCGCAGACTGAGGGCTGCAGTTTTATAGGAAGGCAGACTTGGTCGCGCTTGGCGACCGCCTTCCCTGTTTTTGAAGATGTGCACACTCATGCTAGATGGTATGAGCCAGTGCCTTACAAACAGCTTAAGGATTTAGTTGACGCTGCAAAAATTTTGGAGTAACTGCCAGTTATACAATCACATTATTGAGAAGTATTGCTACAGAAGCGCTGACGCCCACAGACTGGCAAGAGATTGCGAGAGCAGCTCTTCCGTCGGGGCAGTTCCTGGATTTTAAATCCATTATCCAGGACAGAGCTCAAGTCCAAGCGCGTATAAACATGCAAATACTATTAAATTTTTTTAAATGCCATACCTTGTTAATACTTGAATTTTTTTTTTTTTTTGGAAGTACCACAGACCAGTGTGGAAACAATATTGTGAAGGCATACTTCTCTAAAGTGATCGTACTTCAGCTGAGCTGGTGAAGAAAGCAGATGGATTGGATATAGGGAGGGTAGAGGAGAAAGGGGTGGATGGTATCGGGCAGTGGTCATAAGGTCTGGCTACAGAAGAAGGAATAGATCAAACAGAATGGGGAAAAAGGAAACAAAACTAAACAGAGAAGTTAAAGGATTGAGTCTTGTGCCCAAAATATACCAGCTTAATTCCTATGCTGGGTTTGGGCAGAGGATCATTATATAAAATATACCAGCTTAATTCCTATGCTGGGTTTGGGCAGAGGATCATTATATAAAATATACCAGCTTAATTCCTATGCTGGGTTTGGGCAGAGGATCATTATACTTCCCCAGTCCCAGAAATCAAACCATGATACAGTCCAGAGTAGGCTTTCTCTAAAGCTGTCTTCATGACTTCAAAAAGATCACAATCTCAAAATTCTACCCAAATGGAGACCTAAATCACGTCCCAAACAGAAGCAAAGCCACCTCTAACCTCAGCACTTGGGAGGTAGGGGCAGCGGGATCGCTGAGTTCAAGGTCAGGCTTGTCTCTGGCAGGCTGAGTTCCAAGTCAGCTCTTGCTATCTTTGCTACCTAGTTGAGACTTTCTTGAAAAACAAAATAAATAAACAAACAAAAAACCACGTGCTTCGATAAAAATCTGTTGAGGAAGTAAGTGAGGCGCAGGCTGTCTATCTCCACCCACAACACCATAATCTGACACTTAATAAGCTCAGATGTCTACATAAAAAGCAAGCCTATAGTGGCCCCTGTAGGAGGCTGGAAGGCGGTTTGTTTTTTTTTCATGGTTTGAAATGGGCACACATAGGTTTCAGAATGGCAGCCACAGTAGCCATAGAGATTTATTTTAAGGTCAGGATGTCAGAAGCCATGGCTTTGTGTGCGCCCCTTCATAAAGTTAGCCGAGAAGCCATCTCCAATAAGCAGCCAGAGTCACAGGGTGTCAGGGAGGACTTTACTGGCACTGTTGATGGATGATAGAAAACCCAAATCAACAAGCTATTAAAATGTTACCTTTCTTTTTTTTCTGAGATAGAGTCCTAATGGTACTACAAAGTATAAAAACTATTTTTAAAAAAAAAGGAAAAAAATTAAGAAAAAGGAAAGAAAAGCAAGCAAACAGTTTATATATAAACTTTCTGATCATTGCCGAGATCATTGTTCAAGAATATAAATTAGTTCTGAGGTATTTTATAATGGGCTGGGTACTGAAGAACACAGAAACTACACACACGTGTGACTCGGGAATGGCTCATCGCTTTCTAATGATCATCTCATAAAAATCAGTTGGCATTTAGAACAGGTGCACGCTATTCATAAAATATCCGAGATAAAGATTACACCGCAGAAAATAACTGGTCAGTAACAACATGCTAAGAGGGCCTCGGAGCGCCGTGGGATCAGGGTACTTCAGGGAAATGTATTTAGCATGGGCCTCGCTAATTGTTACCATTCTAGACGGACTGTATACAGAAAACAACCAGTTTAACACGTAGGGTGTCACTGGCATCACTAATTCAATTTTGAAGAGACTTAACAGCGTTTGTAACAGAAAAGCTACCGACGTGACCGCACAGACAGACTTTAAAAAGCTACAGCAAGTCAAGTCAAAGCCTACTATCAGTTAAAAAAAAAAAGACTTAAAAGTTAGTTGAAAAAATACATTTAACACTAGAGTACCGTACTGAAGAAAACACATTTTATGACTTAAAGGACATCTTGACTCTACACAGCCGACAGTTTTCAATTCTGCGGTACGTGTCGTCAGAGACACCCTTGCTCTGAATGAGCTTCCTTGTACGGTGGGAATGCTAAGGAGCGCTGGAATCCTAGAGGCTGTTGCCGACTTGCTGCTGGCTGCTGGAGCCGTTCTCTGACGTGGAACTGTAGCTACACGTCCAAGATATCACTCCAGTCAGTCACAGTCACTAGGCTGCTTTTCGGGGTGCTCGATTCGTTGTCCTGAAGACCTGGACAGGGAGCAGGAGGAAGGGAGGGGACCTGTGGTTAAACCGGGATATTCAGACCTCCGACTTCAGTCTTTGCTCACCCAGTGTCTGAATCTGTTCACCTTGCCCCAGGTCCTTACAGGCTTTCGGGGAGGTTGATAGCACACCCACCCCCAAGTTTCTAGATCTCATCACAGGACACGGTGGCCTGTGACCATCCATTCCAAAGCCCATGAGCTCCTGGGCAGTAGGGTGTGTGTCCTGCTTCTCTGCCCCTGGTGGTCAGCATGGTGCCTGGATACTGAGTTTGCAGTGTGTCTGTGTTGTGTTATTAACTACGAGCAAATAGAAACTGGGCAGAAAAGGAACGTACAATCCTACACATCAATGTGAATCTCCACTTTAATATTTAGAGGTTAAGTGTTAAACATAGATTTTGCTGAGGCAAAAGCGCTTAAATTTGAAGTTAATTAGAGTCATGGTTTTGAGCCGTGGGAGCAGCAGGCTGTAGAGAACTCCGCTCTAATTTGATTCTAGAATGTTCTCTGAGAAACGCGGGGTCCCGGCACGGAAGCATCCTCCCAGTTCCTCATAAGGCAATGTCTCTCAAGCAGTCTTTTGGGTTTTATGAGTCCTTAGTAGAGATAACGTCACAATGGCTCTGCGGCAGACACGTTATCATGTGACAGTGTGGCGGTTAGTGCATGGCTGACATACGCAAGAGAGAAAAGGGACAGAGCTGAAAATGCCCGAAGGGTCAAGGCGACCTGCTGCAGACAGGAGATACGACTGTGGGAACTCTCCGTGCTGACAGGAAGCTGCGAACAGGGGCACAGAGAGGTGCTGAGGACGGTGGTAAAGACTCCCCCACCACAGCAGGACATCAGGAGCTAACATCTGAAGTTGTCAAATCAAGAGGCAGGTTTGAGTGCATTACTGAGAGATACGGGAATGGATTACTGGATAGTAAAGATGGTGAGAAATATCATGGAAGACCCATCTGCTCATCTTACCTTTTACAACGCACGAGGATTACTTTGATTTTATATGAATATATTAAACTACAGCTGGTGGTATAACTGGCGTGGAAGATGCGAGTTTATCTTAAAGAGATTCTGTGCCATTCAACACACTAACAGGCTGTTGAAACAATGAACTTCAAAGAAAATGAGAACTCCCCCCCCAGGAATCTCATGGCGGGAGAAGGAAAAGGCCCGACCCAAAATGAGATGGAATACAGTTCTAACAATAAGTCAGATCGTCTTTCAGGTTAAGACTAAATCCCAGGCAATGGTTGGGTCAGTGGTGGGAAGGACCAATTGCTCAGCCATGGCTGTTCTTGGCCCTCTAAACTTTGACGTGGGGGTGGTCACTGGACAGCTCTGTCCCTCTTCCTAATGCAGTCACACTAAACAAATCTACTTTGTGTCCCGCAATCAGTTTGGGTTTTTTAATTGGCTTATTGGGGATGGGTGGCTGGATCTGACTTGGTACACAACCCCAGACTTGATCACAGCAGCACACCTGTAATGCTGGTACTCCAGATGTGATGTGGGAAAACTGAAAGCTCAGGGCCAGCTCTGGGCTATGCCATAACGCAGGTGAAATCTTGTCTCAACAAGTCAAACGAGCAAAGTAAACAAAATGTACACACACACACATTCACTCACACGTGTGTGCACATTTATTGACTTTGAATTTAGAAGCCAGGTCTGCTGAGAGTTACATCCAGGCTCTCTGGTGGACAGGAAGCATTCCAAATTACAATGTCAACATCATTTGTGATCTATCCCACTGACTACAACGCTGAAAACAAACAAACAAACAAACAAACAAACAAACAAAAAACTCAAACAAACCACCTTGGAAGAAAACCAAGGGAAGGACTTAGTAGGAGATACAGGAGTCCTGGAAGACCGCGGAAAGCATGTTCTCATACATGTGTAAGCTCAGAGAGGATCATTCCTAGGGGCGTCTGAACGGAGAGAGTATCTGTGTGGACATATTGAAGATAACACTACAAGGTTTAATGAAACATTACAGCAGAAATTAAAATGATCCGTACATTTGTGAAGTAAGTGATCAATATCCAGATATACCTTGTAATAAAAAAAAATCAAGATCTTGGTTCTAACAACTGTGTCATTTGGTTTGGTTTCGATTGGGTTTGGTTTTGGCTAAGCAGCTCTACCACTGAGCTATGATCCTAGCCCCCAGCAGTGAGTCTGTCTGAACGTATAGAAGTATACCTAACCACAGATATGTATAAAGTTGAGACACTCTGGGACCAAAGGCTTAGCTTGATTGCTACAGTGCTTGCAGATCAGTCCTGAGGACTTGAATTTGATCCCCAGATCTCACATTTTAAAAAGGTCACTGCTTCCCCAGCATTGAGGGAGCGGAAATGGCGACAGACCTGGGACTCTCAGGCCAGCCAGCCAGTCTGGCCTGCTTGGTGAGTACCAGGCCGGTGAGAGATCCTGCCTCAAAACACAAGGTAGACGGCTTCTCAGGAACAATCCAGGGACTTCTGCCTCTACACGGACATTAATGTGCATCCACACGCACATACATGTACACACTACAGACACACGGCCCATCCATAAATGGGATGAGGACTGCTAACCTTCTTCCTTGAATTCCCGAGGGTTCACTGGGCCCCAGGCCCTTGGCACTTGACCGGAATTTAGATCTCTCTTCACAGGTGGGGGTTCCCTCGGTTCTAGCTTTTTCTCCAAAGACTTCTCTTCCTCTAAGGATGATATGTCCCAGCCACCCTCATCTCCATCTGTGCACTGAAAGAAACAAAGAGCATAGACAGGGTTTCTCTGTAGCTGTGGAGCCTGTCCTAGAACCAGCTCTGTAGACCAGCCTGGCCTCAGACTCACTGAGATCCGCCTGCCTCTGCCTCCTGAGTGCTGGGATTAAAGGTGTGCTCCACCACCCGACTATAACTTGCACTTCTTAAAGAAACAGTGCCTCTCGTTCATTTTGTGGTTTAGGTCGAGCAGCCGACACTGAACGAGAAGGTGGGGGTGGCAGAGGGGCCCCAAGTGGAGGCATCTTTCAGAGCTGCGGAATGAGTTTGAAAACCCGCATCATAAAATTTAGAGAAATCACTTTTCTTTTCCATGCCGCAGATTTTTTTCTTTAATCAATTGTGAATTTAGAAAATTCTAGACTATAAAGATTGTAGCAGGAGGAAACTCTAGAAGTCAGAGTGATTTATGTCACCCAGGAGTCCTGTAGAATGAGACCCCCGCTAGAAGGAACACATTTCTGGCAAGCCTTTTCTGAGGAGAGCCATGTCATCTTGAATGATGCAGCATTTTGGCAAATTTTTTTTTGGTTTGTGTTAACAGAAAAAAACAATAACTAATGAAGAATGTTCAACAGATTGTTTTGAGTCCCGTGGATGAACGGGAGTGGGGGTGGGGGTCTAGCTACAGAACTAAAGGATGCAGTACTGGAAGACCCTGTCTATTCAACCAGATAGCCAGAATGGCAACAGCCAAGCTCCATTACAAACACTCTGGGCATTAGAACTGCTCCAGAACCTTCCAGGCCTCTCCAATGATTCTGACATTGAGGTTGGACAAATTCTTAAAAGTTCCTATTTTACTTCTAGGCATCAGAAAAATCCCTGGAGTAGATGTGGAGGCTCCAGATTCTAGCTCATCGCACTGCTGTGGTCAAAACATCTAATGTCTGCAGGTAACAAACCGCACATAAGATGGGGCTGTGAGCATCTGTGCAGTGAGATAGGCAAATACCATTGCACTGGAGGGTGAACAGGTAACTGAAATGACTGGGCCAGAAGTACTTCAAATTAGACAGGGAGCTGGGTGGAAATATTTTCAGCCATCTTATTGGATATATCTCCAATCGAAAACTCCAAATCCAGTGAAATACAAAATCACACTGTGTGCATTTTGAATTCTTGTGTGCATGCCTGAGACCAGACCTAGACTCTGTAAGCTGCATCTCAAATCCTGAGAATGCCTGAGATAATGCCAATGTTTACAAAGTTTAGTGGTTCGGGACACTACAGACTTCAGATTGTTTGATCTGTACGTACCTGCAGGAGATTTTCAAAGGGATGGTTAAAAAATGCAACACTAAGAACAAATCAGGACGAAACATTAGCCTTCACTATATTAACTAATCACAATTGACTTTGATTCCATTATAAAATATATTTACTAATTAATTCATCTGAAGATGAACTAGTTAGCGAGTGGTTTCACCTTTAATTCTTGCAATTCTTCCTTTTTGATAAGTGTCTCAGCAATATTCATTCCAGTAACTGGTTTATTCCCACTTCCTTGGTGTAAAACCATGCTCTCAACATTTTCAGTTTGTATCTTAACAGAGGTTCCTATAGGAGCAACAGAACACAGTCAAGAGAAGGTTTCCACAGACGGTATCACCATCACTTCCAAGAGCCTCCCCCCCCCCCCCCCGCCGCCCCGTCAGCTCTGAAGGAGTCTTAGCTGTACATATGACGATTCACCATTCAAATAAAACTAACCGAGGCATTTTGGGTTTGGGAAGAACACGGGGTTGGAGAGATGACGGACGGCTCAGGGGTCAATAGCACCACTCTTCCTACAGACAATAAGGTTCAGTTCCCAGGACTCACATCATGAAGCTCATAACCACCTGTAACTCCAGTTCCAGGGGATCTGATGTCCTCTTGTGGCCTCACACATGCACGCACACACGTATACACACATACATACACATAAAATTTAAAAAAATTAAAACTAAATACTTATAATTCCCTTAAGAGAAGAAAATTTTATTTGCCCAGGCATGAAGCTACAAAGTTTTCACTCAAAACAACAGTGGACTGTTTCATTCAAATAAATATATGCTATTTAATGGGTATGTATATTGGGATTAATGAGTCCTGGCCTTCAGCTGGATGTTGGGACTAATGAGTTCTGGCCTTCAGCTGCTCTTCCCTCCTAGAACCTTCTAATTAAAGTCACTAGAAGCTGTGCCTAGTTTAGAGGATCAGAGGATGGGATTATCACCTGTTGGCCATTGACAGCAGGGTATTTAAGCCTACATGGTGTCAATAAAGGGGGCTTTCTGAACCAGCGTTTGGAGGTCCGTGTTTCGGTCTGTCTCTGTGTATGTCGGTTTGTCTCTGCGTGTGTATTCTCAACCTCCTGCCCCTTGTCCGAAGCTCGCGATCTGGGTTCTAGCGCACAGAGTGCAGACATGGGGGCGCAGTGCACGGCATATGTAGAAAATAGTGCGTTATTTTGGGATTCACATGCTGAGGCGCTCAGCTCAGAATGTAATCTTCGTTGGAAGTGAAGCGGCCGTTAAGTTAGAGTGAGGTCATTGAGAGTGGTCCCACGGGGCCAGGCAGATGGCTTAGGCAGTAAAATGCCTGCACACAAGCATGGTGACCTGAGTTCCATCCCAGCACCCACAAAAGATCCGGGTATTCTGGCACGTGTGTGTAATCACAGTGCCGGGGGAGGTGGAGACACGAACATTCCTGGAGCTAGACAGCCTGCTGGCCTGGTCAAATCAGGGAGCTCTGGGTATGTAACAGACACTGTCTCAAAAAAAGAAAATAAAGATACCCAACACTGACTTCTGTCCTTCATATGTGTACACATGTGTATGTGTGCAACTATACACATGCATGCATATATGCACATACATAATGCACCACACACATGTGCGTACGCTGTACACACACATGTACATGCACAACACACACACACACACACACACACGTACATGCACCACACATACAATTTAAAGAGTGGTCCATGATCTATGTGAACAGTCCTTATTAAAACTAGAAACCAGGAGGCAGGTGGTGGTGGCGCACACCTTTAATTCCAGCATTCAGGAGGCAGAGGCAGGCAGAGCTCTGTGAGTTCAAGGCCAGCCTGGTCAACAAGAGCTGAAGTTCCAGGACAGGCACCAAAGCTACAGAGAAACCCAAACTTGAAAATCAAAAAAACAAAACAAAACAAAAACCTAGAAACCAGGACTGAAAGGAACTCACAGTGGAAGATGATACAAAGTTTGCCAGGGAGAACAGCCACCCCAGAGAAACAGAATACACCTTCCCCGTGGTTCTCTTTAGGAAAGAACCTTGCCAACACCTTGAGTTTATTCATCCAGCCTACAGGATATGGACACAGCAAATTTCTGTTGTTCAAGTCACTCAGCTTAGGGCACTTTATTCAATCGGCTGTAGGAGAGCCACACACCCAGGCGTCCTCAACTGGCTCTTCCCTGTCTACTTGAAGATGGGTGGCTCTCCAGCGCTGCCGTTGGGACGAGCCCCACAGTCCTCACACACCGTGCTGCCCCTGGGCGGGGACCACTGTCCTAAGTACACTTGAACGGGGGTTTTGAGAGATCAAGGCTCACCCGTGGGCTTTGGGGAAACATCTGAGTCCTCCATCTCGCTTCCCTCTGTCCAGTCAGTATCACTTTTGACAGAACTCTTCCCAAAGTTGCTCAGATTACTCTTAGACGGCTGGAGGGTAAATAAGTCTGGGGACATGTATGCCGGGATGAAGTCCTCTTCATCCAGCTCCTCCTCAGAGCTGAAGGGCGGCGTCCTGTATAAGTCAGAACAAAAATGGGGGTGTGGGGTGCCGTCAGAACCAACATGGGGTGTTGATTCCTCATTTCAGAATTTACCACCAGGTGTGCCTTTTTTATCTTTTTATAAATCAGTTCTTTTAATTAGCATACAATTGGCTTTATTCTGAATTTTCATACATATTTTGTTTTGTTCTCCCCTCCTCTCCCTCAACCTCCTGCTCCCCCCTCCTCTTCCCCAACCCCCTGCTCCTCTCCTGCCTCACTCTCAGTCTTCTCCTCCTCCCCTCCTCTCCCGCAATCTCCTGCTCCCCCTTCCTCTCCCCAACCTCCTGCTCCTCCTCCCCTTCCTCTCCCCCAATCTCCTGCTCCCCCTTCCTGCACTACATCCCTTCCATATCACATATATTCTGTTCCCCTCTTTTTGTTTCTCTTTTTTCCCTTCCCAATATTCCTTAATACCTCTTTCCCCATTAATGGATGTCTCTTCTCTAGTTTTATGAGTGATACAGCAACCCCCACCCCCCCAAAACACACATACACATACATAAAAGTTAAAACCCAGGATCTATATTTGAGAGAAAATACCCAATATTTGTCTGAGTATGGAATATTTTGCTTAAATTTCCTTTTCTAACCTTTTTCCTCAATAAATTGGCATTGTGTACACATACAACATATTTCTTATCTCTTGATGGACATTTCCTGGCTATGTGGACATGTATATGGATATCTCTCTGTGTGGAACTTGGAGTCCTTTGGGTATGTGCCTAGAAGTGGGACAGCTGGGTCCTATGAAACTTCTATTTTTAGCTTCTCGAGAATCCTCCACAGTGATTCCATGTGGTTACTTTTTGGAGTGATACAGACCTCCTCAGGTAACACCCAGAAAGCACAACAAAGGGAACCCTGCTGGACCCACAGACAAGGAGGCAGTGAAGCCAGAACCTTGTGTAACACCGAGGGGGTCACTCCAGCCCCAGATCTGCTGACCCTGACACAGAATTGTTAAAATGGATTGAAGTCCCCTGAGCCCAGATGTAAACCGTCTCAGTATGCTTAGCTCTTAAATGCTGAAGGAAAAACTTCTCAGTCGGCAGAAATCATCTCCACACTCAAACTACACTACCATTTAAAATTCCATTACTTCTGACCCACGGCTTGCCGTCCTGAATTCAGAATAGGATTTGTCTGTTTGAAAGACACAAGTAGAAAGCCTGAATTCCACGCATCACATCTGCCTGTGCACACTGGGTCAGTCGTATACACCCCATGAAACAAAGTTCTACTATGAGGTTATATTCATGAAAAGATGAACCATTGTTTCTCTATTTTATGATGCCCCAGAGAAGAGACTTTATGGTGGTGACAATTCCAGACATTGGGCAAAGATGATGACATTCAACAAGAGAAAATGAGTATCATCCAGAACTAATAACAGAAACACATCAGTCATTTATTGAGTGCCCACAAGTGCCAAGATCCTTTTATACGTTCTCATTTAATTTGCAAAATGATGCTAAGCCAGGTACGGTAGCCCATGCTGAAATCCCAGTAATTAGGCTGGGGCAGGAGCATATCTGTGACTTCAAGGCCAGCGTAGTTGGAGAGAGGTCCAGGCCAGCCAGAGTTACATAGTAAGATCTCGTCTACAAAACAAACCAACACCAAAAAAGAAAAGTATTCTTCTGGAAACAAAAATGTGTCACATATTACAGAATTTTTTTAAAAATTAGATTCAAAAAGAGCACTTGATGAATATCAGCTGCTGAGTGATTGGGCAAAGATTCTTATCATCTTAGGGACCCCAGCAGACGGCAGGCTAGAGTTGGTATTGCCATTACAAGGAGTCAGAATACAGAAAATGGCCCTGAGCCCTATGTGATCATGGATCCAGCCACTGAAACGTCGTCTGTTCTATTTAAATGTGCCTGTTAAGAATTACACTGGGGAACGCTGTATAGACCGACTCAGGGTGGTCCTTTTTCTCCATGGAGGCCATGACGTGGTGGTGAACTGAGTGACAGGGCGGCTGAAGATGATGTGTCACAAATAATACACCATGAAGGCCTGGGTCAGCAATCCTGATGAATAACCACCATGGCTTCACTTAATCGCAGTGAACCCCCACTTTATCACGAGAGGAATGCTCAGAAACTTTATATCCATCCATCCCCGACAACCCCAGAACCTCGCTCAGTACTCACTTGGTAGATGAAAACTTTCTGAGAAAATGATTTTCTTTGGCACTTTTCTTAAATCTAAAATAAAAAAAAAATTAGAGGAAGACAAAAAAAAGCATGTAAGTAAATAATATTGCCAACACATCTGTCTATGGAAACCACAAAAGTCTGGTTACCAATCCGAGACTACACAGGAGTTGTGGATGGGGTTCACCACTACGGATTCATATCTGTAGCCCACCAGACCTGGAGTGTGGTGACATCTGGAGGCGGGGCTTTGGAAACTACTGGAATAAATGGAGTCAAAGGGTTGGGTCCCCATAATGGGATTACTACCTGTGATGATCTGAATGAAATGGCCCCCATGAGCTCAAATGTTTGAGTGCTTGGTCCCCACTGGACCTGTCTAGGAAGATTAGGAGGCGTGGCCTTCTTGGAGGAGGTATGTCACTTTGACACCCTGATTCTGAACTTCCAGCCTCCAAAATAAATTTCTCTTGTTTCAGGGACACAGTCCATGATGTATTATTATTGCAACTTCAGTTGGATAAGACAAACAATCATATATATAGTTGAAAATACTCACTTTGGGACAGCCACCTTATCGGTAAACACGGTCCTCTGTCTGATCAATGGTCTGCCTTGCGGGGGAAGCTGGGAGGCTTTGGGGACTTTTTCAGCTGGCAATGTGGTCATGAGAGGGACATTGAACCTATCTGGAAGAGAAGCATCGTTCATGAGTCTCCATCGCCTCTGTGGTAAAGTGAAAAGCCAAAGTAAATAACACGATGTTATCCATGGTGTCACTGGAGAGAACAAGCCTGCTTCTCGGATTGGGATCCAGACTTAGGGCTTCGTTATTATTGTTTATTTGCTCTTGGATTTTTTTTTCTTTTTCTGGGAGAATCTCTTTTAACCCGGGTTGGAATCGAATATGCTATATAACTAAGAAGGACTCTAAAGTTCTGGTCCACCTGCCCTTATCTCCTGAGTGCTAGGATTATAGGGAAATTATCCTCCCCAAAGTAGGTGTCAGGACTTCTTTCAAGATAAAAGTATAACCCAAGACCCAGCATTTTAAGTACAGACAGTAAGGAAGTTGTTAGTACCAAAGTTTGCAAACATTTAAAATTATAAAAAGGTTGTTAGAATTTAGCTCCCGTTTGTAGCAATGAAGCGCCAGGTGGTAGCAGCAGGCTTACCTGAAGATAGCGACACCTTCTCCTCGATTTTACAGGTCAGCTGATGCTCGAGGGATTCTCGAATTTGCTGTATGTCGGGCATTTGTTTTGCTAGATCATGTCTGGCTGACTGCATGGCTTTCAGAGACCTGGTCAAGATCTCGCAGGGAATGCCGTGGATGTCCTGAAGGAATAAGATAGCGTGTCAATCTGTGATCATTATCCTTGGATGCTTTTCATTTGTAGACATGTGCTGGCATTAACTCTGTTCTTCTGGGCCCCAGGGTCATTTCAGGGTCATTAAGGTAGGGGATGAGGATGCTCCAGTGTATAACGAACCCTTCGGAATCCAAAAGGACCTTGCAGTCCGGGTGTGCCTGTTTATGACTGGCTCACCAGTGCAATGCTGTGTGATCAGCGGCAGACGAGCAAGATTAGAGGAATTCTGAGAGAGAGCCCGCCAGAGGCCCTGACCTCCAGGGGAGGCTGAGCTACGCTCCTGTGAAGGTGGAGACGGACAATTGGGAATAAGAAGCAGTTTCCAGATGGCCAGGCACTGGGGATACCTTGGGAGGAAGACAGGACCCTAGGACAGAGAGAGCCAAAGCATGTCCCACAGGCTGATGCGACCACAAGAGAAGCCTGAGTGCCGGCCTGGACAGCTGAGCAGTCAGCCCCTCAGGGACGGGAAAGCCGTCAGAATTGACTTTCCATCCGGAACTAGAGTAATCAAAGGGGAGACCCGTGGAACTCTGGGTCTGATGGGAATCTCGTCAGAAAAAGGTGCTTAAACGTCAGTTACTTAACGTTAGTGTTAAGTAACTCATCTCCCACCTTCACCCCCTTCTCCCCGACTTTTTCCTTTCTTCTGAGTTCCCCACCCCAGCAGTGGCCTTGCTACCTCACGTGGTTGCCCAGGAGAGACATTTCGGTCGGATAAGTGCCAGGTCCAAGTTTCCTGTCCCCTGTCATTCACCTGATCTGCCCGACTTCTGTCTATCGCTCCAGAGGGTCAAAGACTTCCCCTATTTCTGTGACCCAGCTTAATGTCCACCTTCCTACACCCTGTAGTGGGTGGAAGGATCTAATGTCATACAGCTGTCAGCCTTCCTAATTAACACACAGCATTTCCAACAGTTTTCCACAGGGTTCCAGAGATGGTTCATCTGGAACTAGGAGGGTTTTTATAAAGTTCAACAGAAAGCAAGAACTGGAAGAATTACCAAAATGTTTCAGGCAGCTAGACTAGGGAAAGCATGCCCATGGGAGACAGAAGAATACATGGCTGGTCTAAGTCAGTCTGTGTGGTATGAACAAATGAATAAAGAATGAATATGGCCGGGCAGTGGTGGTACACACCTTTAATCCCAGCACTTGGGAGGCAGAAGCAAGCAGATCTCTGAGTTTGAGGCCAGTCTGGTCTACAGAATGAGTTCAAGGACAGCCAGGGCTACACAGAGAACCCTGTCTTGAAAAAACTAACTAACTAATTAACTAACTAACTAATTAATAAATATGGCCAAGTAACTGAATGTCCAAAGCGGATGCAAATGCACACATGGAGTTTCTACATAATAAAAGAACTATTTCAAATGAACAGGAAATGATATCAGGACAGCTGCTTCAAATGGAAATAAAGCTAAACTTTTCTAATTCTGAAAACACCCACCGCACACACAACCCCAAAACCAGGAAACAAACGTGTCTCCAAACACTAGGAGAAAAACCATAGATAAAGCTCTGATTAAATTAAAACTCCCCAAACCCATAGAGACAGCAAAACTCCCAAAACCCATAGAGACAGCAAATATGAAAACCTAGACTAGAGAGTCTGCATGGGAACCCTGGACATTGCACAGATGTCTCTGGTTCCCTCTGCCCAGTGTGGCTAAAAACCCACAAAGAGTCTGAGAAATTAGAGACCGGCAATACTAAGACTTGGTTAAAGACATAGAACAACTGAACCCTTGAGGGTGAGTATGGACTGGAACACTTAAGGAAATGATTCGGGAGCAGCTATGAGGATAGACATGTCTGTCACTTGACCCAGCAATGACATTCCTAGACATACCTCCAGGAAAAGGACACTTATGTTCTCTACTCACACCAGAGCACATGCTCACAACTGAGTAGCTACAAGAGTTCACAAGGAAACCTGGCATTTCCATTTTCAAGGAGAGATAAAACTGCACAGTATTCAACTCAGTGCTGCAGTAAGGTAACTAAAGAACAGACCACTGGTGCGTGAAACAGACACGGACCACACAGACTAGAGCATCATCAAAGGCAAGATGCAGGATACTGCACTGATGTGCTTCCACTTCTGAGGCCCAAGAACAAGGAGACTCAGTCACAACACCTGTCATGTCTTGTTGGAGAGTAGCTGGGGACAGAGGCAAGGAGGACGTAAGGGGACCTTCTAGGGTACTAGAAATGCCCAATGTTATCATCTGAGTGGTGGTTACAATGCTCTCACGCAAACCCATCCACGTGCCTATAAATGCACACACATAAACATACAAATGTGGAGATACACAATGTATCCATATGTTTACTCAAACACATGTATATACACGTACATGTATGAACATATGGTTCTATACAAATGTATGCATACATACACAGCTATATCCACACGTATGTCTACACACAAACAGCTGTGACATACAGCTACGTACACATGTATTGATACATAGCCACACACTACACTCATCTATCATTTATAAGCATTCATATGTGTATAATATACATTCAAGCTTACACATATATGTTCACATGTGTATGTTTACATGCATTTGTATATAATACACATATACATTCATACATATATAGTTACACAAGCACTCATGTATTTACCTGTACACAAATAAATTCATCAAATTGTTAGGATTTATACACTTAGTGTGTTCTAATAAATAATTCTAAAAGCACAAAGGGTTTACATGTAAGGTGTGGGACTGAGATTATTCAATCTGGTTTCAAGATAGAACCTAATTCAACTGCACATTCATTCATCATTTGCTAAGTTCTGATTTCATAATGAGCAGTGGTTTGAGGTAACATCAGGATGCATTATTCAGAATATATCAATGTACTCTGAGCACCCACTCAGGCTCAGGTTCTGGCATTACTAGCTAGTCAAATCACCTCATCTTTACACAAAACAAGTAACACCACCATTTAGTCCAAGTTTTATTCCCGTTTGTAAATAAGTTTGTATTTGTTAAGGCCTTAGAAAGGCTTGAGGTAGACACGCCACCCGGAGCTCTGCTAACCTGGGTCTTAGCATGCAGACTCCAGCTCTGCACTTCTTCACGTGTGTCCTGATTTGGGAAATGGGACAGAACAGGCAAATGTTCAGAACATGAACTAACGTACTGAGTTAATCCCAAGGTTCCTCAGCTTCTTCCCCAGCTCCTTCTCCAAGTTTGTCCTCAGCCCCTTTGAGGAGAGGTTGCTCTTCCAAGTTTTCCTTAGATGTGTCTTCTTACTTGATTTCTGGTCATTTTCTCGTCCTGAATCAAGGTATCAGTAAAAAGTAGGTGTAAAGAGAATTATACAAACTTATTCTAAGTGGGAAATGACAGCATACAACTTTAAGTTAGAAAGTAAACATCTGTAAAGATTTTAAGGTTTTGGATATTTTATAACCATAAGGATCTTAGTGTTTAAAACTGTCTGCCTCAGTACTTAGTGACTTCTAAGACTACTGATTGTTTACCCAAATTATAATTAATCAACCTAGGAAGTAGTCATATATTTTTTAATGTTTAATCAATGGGAATATTTCCCCAAAAGTTCATTTCTAAGCCTAGTTAGAATTTATCTTATGAAGATAAAATGTATAATTTATTTAAATTTTATTTAAGTTTTAAGAAGATAAATTTAGGGGGCTGGAGAGATGGCTCAGTGGTTTAAGAGCATTGCCTGCTCTTCCAAAAGGTCCTGAGTTCAATTCCCGGCAACCACATGGTGGCTCACAACCATCTGTAATGAGGTCTGCAGACATACACACAGACAGAATATTGTATCCATAATGAATAAATAAATAAATTTTTTTAAAGAAAAAGAAGATAAATTTAGTACATGCTAAGTACACATAAAACTTGTGATTATTCTCCCCTTCAAAGTCTTTATCAAAACTGCAAAGAGGTTAACAACCTATAATTAAAACAAAACAAGACAAAAAGCAAACAATGAAAAACAAATCAATAAAACACAGGTTGTATTCCTTTCATCCTCCCCTCCTTCATCCTTCTTCACCTTCTTCTTTCCTCTTTGTGGTGCTGGAGTGGAGCCAGTAATGACAGCCTCGGCTCACCCTGGTCTACGTTTACTGCCTACTTTAAAAAAAAAAAAAAAGTCTAGTTCAAGAGAGTTTGGAACAGGATCCGAATAGTACGTTTCACAGTGAAGGCCAGTCTGCCCAAGGCAGCTTAAGAGCCAACTCAAGAGACCCAGTAGCTGGCAAACTGTCCAAAGCCAGATCTGATACAAGTCTGGCAAACAGCCTATCATTCTGAGATCCCATATCCTGGCAGGTTCATTTCATTCGAAAAGACTGGACAAGTGTTGTAAACCAGCAAGGTATGTATCCCCCTTTCTGACTGGCTGCAGGGAGCCCCTCCCCCAACCACTCTCTGGCCTTAGTGGACGGTACTGTCAGCAGCTGCCACCTGGATTTGCGGGAGATTATTAGACAAAATGCCATTTGCCTAACACGTTCTCCAGATAGCTGTATGATCCCAATACTAAATCATATTTAAAACAATGAAGGGTTGTGTGTGTGTGTGGGGGGGAAGTTTCATTTGTTTGTTTTGAGACAGGGTCTCACTCTAGCCCACACTGGCCTCAAAGTCACAGTGAGGAAATGCTAGGATTGGAAGCACGAGCCAAAATGTTCATCTATGAATTAAACTGTACTAAAACCAAAATTAGCCAAATTAGTTTGCACATCAAATAGGGAAAAAATCCTGCATGAAGATATAGTTTTAATACTTTGCTCTTCTGGCTTGTTCAGCTGCAAATATCAGAACATATATGGTCATGTCAATAAAAGTCAGAGGTCGTCTTAATCTTATACTCTCTGCATCCATGAAGCTGAGTGACTGCTAACGCTTCAGCAAATTCTGCAACCACGCACATACACACAAAGAGAAAAGCAAAACCTGTCAAAAGAAAACAAAAATCTAACCACTTAACCAAACAATAACAACAAAAAAATCTGTCCTAAGAGCTGGTATCAATTAATCAAAACATATTCTATATCACTGGCTTTGCTGTCTTGTTGGCCAGTGTAGGGCTCAGGGGGAAAAAAAAAAAGAGGCCCTTGAAGTCATGTTGAACTAGCAAATAAAAAGTGGAGGGACAACCTGGAAAGACAAATGAAAATAAACCTCACTAAAAATGTGTTCTTTAAAAATGTCAATGATTAACATAGAAACAACAGGACTTGAAAATATCCATCATGTAGATGTTATGAACTGTCAATTTCCAATTTGTAGCTTTGCTAAAATAAGAAAGAAATGGTAAATCCTATTACACAGGAGTTATAACAACTATTAAAATTTTACATGCCACGGCTAAAGAGATGGCTCAGTAGTTACAAGCGTGCATCGCTCTTCTGAAGGTTCTAAGTTCAGTTCCCAGCACCCATGACAGGCAGCTATCACCCCTTGAGATGCCCCCTCCCTTGAAGGGAATCTAATGCCTTCTTCTGGCCTCTGCAAACCCTGCGCTAATAACACGCATAACCACAAAAGTTTGTCGATTGAAATACATATTTTAACCTCCCTTCCTGACAGAAATGGCTAATAATGAAGCCCTTGCGTTTATTACCAACTAGCTTCCCCCCTCAGAAGTGATAATTGGAGCTGGAGTGTTGGCTCGGCTGCTAAGAGCACTGGCCGCTCTGCTAGAGGATCCAGCTCACAGTTGTCTGTAACTCCAGTTCCTGGGGATCCAACAGCTTCACACTGACATACATGCAGGCAAAACACCAATGCACATAACAAAAATCAATTAAAAAGCAATGTTTAGAAATGCCAAATGAAATACGTTAGCAATAACCATTTATCAGTTCCACTATGACAGCTCCCACACTCCACCATGGGGTATTATTTTTCTCTATTTTATACCCAGTGCTTAGATCCTGTATTCCTTTTTGACACTGAGAGCAATTTGAGGGCGGGATCTATGGCTCCCAGGTAGAACCCTTGCTGAGTGTGCACAAGGTCCTGAGTTCGATCCCCAGCACTGGAAAACACAGTGATTTGGAAACGGACCCTTTACTCATTCATTTGAGCCCAATGCTGTGAGAAACCACTCTGACACAAATAGTCTCACACCATCTGGTGCACAATACATGTGCCGCTTTGCCGTCTGGTCGGAATATCTGTACCGAAATAAAGGATTTTTGCTGTGAAGTTTCCCGACATAGGAACTTCCTTATTAACTTATCTGCAGAAAAACTTAACAAAGCGGGGGATACAGGAGCATTAGGGGAACAAGATAACCGGGTGCTGTGTGTCCTATCAGCCGAAACTGCAGTGAAAAGCTAAAAGCCTCTCCTGTTTTCCGTATGGCGTGCCACGCAGCATGAACTTGGACTCTGAAGGTCCAGAACGGAGTAAATACGTGACGCTGGTAATGTTACCTTTTTCCTCCTCTGACGAAAGCTCTTCTATGGGTTCCAGTACGTGCGACGGAAACGCCTGCTCTGCTCACGAGGAGAGAACGGAATAACACAAATAGGTTTGTTTCCTTATTTTAAATATATAGGTTTGTTTGTTTGCATATAAATGTTTATATACATATATATGTAGATGCAAACTACTGTACATACATACATGTCCATAAATATATTTTGTGAGAATAACAAAGACCTACTGGGATAATACTGAGGGAGTCACTTTTGATTTTATTTATTACTTATTTATTAAAGATAGGGTCTTCTGTAGTTAAGGCTAGCCTTGAACTCTCTGTGTAGCAAACAATGACCTTGAACCTTGACCTTGGTTCCACCTCCTAAAGGACTGAATTGTAAGCATGAGGCAGCTGTAATTTGTTCTTCAGGAACTCTTCAGTTTCCAGGTGTTTCCCACTGACTTCAAATATCATTTTAAAAATATATATTTTAAGTATGTAAGTTAAAAACTTCTCATCCATTAATCTCTTGCCTGACACATGGGGTACTATTCCAAAAATCCTTCTCAATGAGACATCTATCTAAAACAGAATACCAGAAATAGAGAATCCCAAATAAAACAGAAGCCAGACCTTCTGAGAGGGATGTATTAGACTCAGATAGCTCACACCCATGCCCGGACACCTGTCAATCCTCTGAATGGTTGGCTAGCAGTGCACCAAGATGGACAACTAGCAAACCATGTGTGTGAGAAAGGGAAGCGGCAATGAGGAGACCCATTCATAAAGATATCCACGTCCCCAAACCCCTGTCCTGTCCTGGAGAGCCCAGGTGAGGCTGCAGACTAGAGAAGAAGAGAACTGGACTTTACCCCAGAACCTAGCAGGAGACCAGGAAATGACATCTCGGGGTGACTGTTACCAGGGACCTGCCATCCACCTGCACAGAGGAATCTGCCAGGAGAGCAATCAAACCAAGACCCATCCTGGGAAAGAAGGAAAATGCCGCACGGAGAAGGTACAGTGATGGCATTCAGGATTTAGGCCTGGGGCAACACGCAACCATCAACACTGGCTTACAGGGCTCAAGGCTCACCCATCTGCAGCTCAGACTCCAGAAAGGACTTTTTCACTTGACACTTTGACCTTGGTGGTGAAAGCCATTGCATTCTATCTTAGCCTCCAGAATGGTGTTGTGTAACTTTCTTCCAAGATTGAAACATTCTATCCTGCAGGAAGCTCCTTAAGCCCAAGGTAAACCACTAAAATAGCTTCAGGAAGTCCCTAAAGCTGAGCAGACTCACTGGCCCCCTCCCTGTCAGAGTAAGCAACCAAAGCTGAGAGTCCCTCTCAGACAGAGTTAAGCAAAGACCACGCTGAGACCAGAAGCGAACACCAGCAGAGCTTCCCAGAAGACGCTTAGAGCAGAGTCACTTAGAAAGGACACTCTCCAACCTGATGAGCCACCTGCAGACTGTGTCCTGTGCTCCAGGTCCCCAGCTTTGTCAGCTGTCACCCATGATGGGGTAGCCCGTGGAGATGCAGTTGTCTGAGTCATTTCTGCTCCTCTAAGTAACCCCTCCCCCATATTCCTGTAATTAACTCCAATAAAACTCATCGGTTCCCCAAGTTTGAGTTTGGTGGTATCTGTACTTGGATCTGCTGTGGACTCCCTTTATGGGGTGAGGAGACATGTTTGAGAAGTTTGTCACACAACACATTGGCAGTGGGCCAACAGTTACTGAGTGCTCACCAGGCAGCTAGGCGTGGATCTGAGTTGTTACACATCTGGCACCTATGTGGAAAGTCTGCCTTTTATTTAATGGGTACTTCTAGCACACTAATTTGGATGGATGTATGGCTGTATGAATAAATTTACATATATATATATATACTATATAGATGAAGTATATCAATGTTTTTGTTTTTGTTGAGCTAGGTGTGTTGGTATAGGTCTGAAAATCCAACACCTGGGTGCAGAATCAAAAGGACCACTGTAAGTCTAGGGCCAGCCTGGTCTATAGAGAAAGTTATAGGCTACTCAGGAGACTCTACTTAAAAACAAATAAAGAATAAGCTGAAGTTCATGACGGAATTAAATTAGACTTTTGGTCTTCATAAATCTTGACATCTGGGCATGCTGGCCTGTAACAGCAACCCTTTAGTCCATGGCTGGTTGTGAGGGACGTATTCAGTCACAATCTGAAACCTACATGCTGAATTTTATTATCTATGGGAATTTAAAACACTCAGGATCTTTTTCTCCTTGAGACTAATAATAGATAAAATGTACATTCAACTTGCACAAAGTTGTCTTAGTCTTGACAGTACAAGAAAAATATCTATGGACATGTGTAATGTAGGTATGTTTAGTATGTGGGCAACACAAAACTCGACTCTATCAAGAGGCTGATTCAGAAGAGCAAACACAGACAGGAAGAGCACTCGGTTTTATTCTAACTCAGGTGGCAGCGGTGTCTTTTTCTCCACTGGCTGGGGTCACACCACACAGTTTTGTTTGATTGGCAAGTCTTCAAAGAAATGGTGTGAAATGAGGTCCTGAAGAGAGAAGCGGTCAGCCACTTCAATCCCAGAATGCAACAGCATCTTTGTGCGTATAAGATTTTATTGGTGGGGGACAGAGTAAAATATTTGCATATCAAAGTCTTACAAGGCGGGGGCGATAAAAAGATTTGAATTCCTTGTCATAAGCCTAAGTTTTCTAGCATTTGATAGAAAAGGCTCATGTTTAATTTGTCTTATAAATCCCTGTTCTTTATAAACAGTCTTTTCTTCAGACATTTTCTTACCCTATCTGGATTAAGAAGCTGCAGTCAGGAGGGAAAGCCCGTTAGCAACAGCTGGTTGAGCGAGGCTGAGGCGAGACCCCAGGAGGAGTCAGTCATTTCATCTGTTGTGTTAGCATGGTTCCTCCTAAGTGTGTGACCCTTGGCCAGGAGACTGACCTGGCCACTGTGTGACTTGTTAAACACTTAAATTAAGGCTGGAAAGATGACTGAGATATTAACTGTCATTCCAGTGGAGCCAGGTTCAATTCCCTGTAAGCGCATGTGTAATCATGTGTGAGTATGTATGTGTCTGTATGCTGTAAGCGCATGTGTATTCATGCGTGAGTATGTATGTGTCTGTATAATGTAAGCGCATGTGTATGCATGTATGCATGCGTATGTATGTGTCTGTATACGCTACTAAGACACCTTCTGTATCTCCACAGCTATCTCTATAATCACCGTCTTTTTTTATTTGTGTGTTTGTGTGTGTGTGTGTGTGTGTGTGTGTACGACGTGCATGTGCATGGGTGTGTCCACGTGTGTCAGTGTGGGTGTGAGAGCGCAATGGCACACATACGATGTCAGAGGAATGTGAGTTTCAGGCCTGGCCTTCCACAGCACTTACTGCTTTGCGTGCTGGGCTGCTGGGGAGCTTCCGGGGACTCCCTTCTTTCTACCTGCCATTTGCCTCAGCAGCACCGGGGTTACAGACGTGGGTTCTGGGGAGTCAAACTCTAATCCCTGCACTCACGTGGCAAGTGCTGTATCTACTGGGCCATCTCCGCAACTACTCAGCCTATAGCCGTTCTTTGAAGGGTCAAAACCCAAGGTGAAAGGCAGTCCTCGTTAGAATCTAACCCACTGGTAGACAGACAGGAATAGAGCGGTCCCCCGGCTCTGGTTCCTTTGTAACAGCAGCCATGTTTTGTTAGCTGTGGAGAATGTCTGTTTCCTCTAACATATGGGAGAGCTCAAAGAGCAGAGAATAAACATGAAGGAACAGCTCAGTAAGGAGAGAAATCGGGATGGAAATAGTTTTCCACCTACCCCAGCGTGATTATGACACTCTGCGCCCGCTGTCCTGTCTGAGGGACAAGGGCTGGCAGGGATTTCATCCCCGACACTCTGTCCGGTTTTCTGCCTTTGGTTTCTGCCTTTTTTTCTACGTCTTCCTGACCAATCATTGAGACTGTTTGTTTAAAAAGGGTGACCTGCCACCACGCTGAAAGTTACAAAAACAAGCAGAAATGCCCTGTGGCATGGCTGGCTGGCTGATCTTCCTCGGGCCTACCGCTTCCCACAAAGATCATAAAGAAACGAAGTAGCGAAGTTAGAACCTGCTATTGCTGGGCCCAAGGACACTCAGACAGGTGCGCATGTTCTGCGGCCAGGGCGGCATGTTCAGACTTCAGTCATGTATGCTGTTGAGGACAGACATTTTCCCAACCGCTTCGTAGTGACTAAGGGGTTTCCTGCTTTACAGAATTGCACCCTGCTGGAATCTGAGTTAATGATTATCTAACTCAGGCTGAGAACCGCACCCGAAACATCGACTGTAGCTGAAACCTACCATGTACCATGGTCAGGCTGGGTGCACCATCCAGAGTCTGTGTGGCGGAGGCATTCCCTGAAACAGAACAAGAGGAAAGGCTCACTGGCCTCGCCGCTCTGGCCCAGCACACGCCTCGAACAACAGATGCTATCCACCTGGCTTCTTTTATTTTATTTTTTAAAGATATTTTTAAATTATTATTTTGAGGTGCCCGGGATAAAACCCACAGCCTGTGCACGCTAGTGAAATACTCTACCACCCAGATTTTAGAAATAGCTTCTTAAGTATGTGTGTGTCTGTGTCGCACACACGTGTAGCTTTTAGGATGCTCACAGGGCTGTGTGACCATAATCACTAGCTAATCTTAGTGCATTTATCAATCTTCCCCAAATGCCGATACCCCTTGGCTATTATGGCTCCTTCTCTCCCCACCTCTTTGTCCGCTAGAACAATCACTGTCTTTTGTATGTCTGTGACTACTTCACACATAGAGAACTATACACCATGTTCTTGCTTCCGTCAGGTAGCGTGTTTTCACTGTGTGATCTGTCAGGATCAGCACTATTTCTACAGCCAGGCAACACTCCAGCGATAACCAGACCCCGACCGACTGCAATCAGATGGACATTTATGTTGTTTCCATTTAGGAAGAATGAGTTCTGAAAAATATCCCAAACATGAGGCTAGATGTGGAGGAATTATTAGTTTAGGCACAGCTTTAGGCAGAAGAAAACTGACTCAATCAATACTAAATGCTATTTTTAATTTCTCTAGACAGGTAAATCCTTCAGCCTCTTTCCCAAGGTTTCACAATTCCTATCAGAGAGTCCTTCCTATCTTGAGAGTCTCATTACACAGGTTTTTTCCCCCTCCCCATTAAACAACTTACCTATTAATTCACTATTTCTTTCTCTACCTTAGATGTATTGGTCGTTGCCTTATTACCTCTGTACACTTACTTATTTTTACGATAAATACTAAACACATTCCACTCATAACTGTCCACAAATCACTAGGAAACCAGCAAACAGGACCTGTGGGCTCATTTCCACCTTGTGCAATCTGGATCAAGCAAGGCTCTGCAAACCACAGCCTGTGAAAATGACTGAGCCTGCTGATGTTCCTGTAAACTTTTATTGAAACACAGCCAATCCATTGTTGGATCGTCTGCAGCGGGCTTTGCGAAGTTATACCATAGCTGTGTAGTTTTATAAGAGCATCTCGCCACGTAGCTTCCAACAGTCGCTCTCTCAATGCCTATCCCTTTCCAGGGGAAACACAGAAAAAACTGGTCTAGATATTACTCCAGCCTGAAAAAGCCGAAAGACGTGACTTAGGACTGATCACCTCCCAGGGCGCCTCGGAAGCCACAGAGCATGCTGAGGTCTAACCTGGTCACACTAGACCCTGCGCCTACTGCACATCTGACGACTCCTCGCAAGTGTCACCTGCTTTCTGACCGCCTCTACCCAGAGTTCTTTTCTTCTCCATTCAGTAATAAAAAATATTTAAATTATTTCATTATCGCTGAAAAAAAGGTATGAGAACACATCTTTGTGTGTGTGTGTGTGTGTGTGTGCACGCACGCATGTCCGTGTGTGTGAGAGTGCGTGTGTATGCACACACACACGCGTGTGTGTGTGTGTGTGTGTGTGTGTGTGTGTGTGAGTGCCTGTGTGTTTGGGCACCTGTGGAAGGAGGAGATCAAAGTCAGGTATCTTCTTGAGTTGTTCTTTATTTTATTATTATCAGATTTGTTTTATTTATTTATGTCTGTGTATATTAATATCTGGGAATGGGTGTGACAAGGGTATGCACACTTGCATGCAGAGGCCAGATGAGGACAACTGAACTCTCAGAGCTCACACTGCAGGTAGTTACAGAAGGCCTGGCTTCTTACATGGGTGCTCAGACCTGAATTCCAGGCCTCATAGCTGCTCTTAACCTCTGAGCTATTGCTGCAGCTTATTTTTTGTTTGTTTTTTGAGACACGGTTTCTCTGTGTATCCCTGGCTGTCCTGAAACTTGCTCTGTAGACCAGGCTGACCTTGAACTCAGAGATCCGTCTGCCTCTGCCTCCTGAGTACTGGAATTAAAGATGTGTGCCACCATGCCAGCCGTCCACTGTATCTTTTAAGATAGGATCTCTGAACCCAGAGCTTGCAGATTTGGCTAGACTGCCTAGCTAACAAGCCCCAGAGATTTCTGTTTCTGCCCCTAGTACTGGAATTATAGACATGTGCCCAGCTTATCCCTCAGCTGTCCTTGAGTGCTGGGGACCAATCTCAGGTCCTCATACTTACATAGCCAAGATTTACTGACATGGCCCTCTCCCCAGTCCCCAAGTTTGATCCTGTTGCTTTACGACTGCATCAGATGTCCATGTTGATCCTAAGGCTGGACAGGGAAACCTGTTAACACCTCAGCATCAAGTCTCAATCCTATTGGTGTGGCCTTGGCCACTAACCAGACTTGTTCCAGAGTGCTTTAGGAAATCTCGAAATGTGAACTTGTGCGGTACCACAATGTTGACTCATCCCTTCATAAGTCAAACTGCCAAGTAATAAAAGCAAAATCTACAAAATCTACAGCCTTAGATTACAGAGCTAAGTCAAAGCCAGAACCAAAAGGGATCACACACCAACGCCAAATACATTGTTTCCAAGAAAAAAGTCTCTAAAAAATGAAGCAAGAAAGAAAAGATGAACATAAAGCTGCTTTAGACACTCACTGGCTGCAGCAGGGCCAGCTGGCTTAGAGTCCAGGGCTTGCCGGGTTAGAGGAGGATTCCCTGAAATGACAAAAATATAAGTTGAAAATGGAAGCTGTGAGACAGAAGCAAGTTTTGGCAGCAAATTATCCTAAATATATTTTAATAAGCATTGGTTTATACTTCTTACCACTTAAGCTCTCGTTATTCTAAGAGACGTTAATAAAGGAAACCACGAACTTACTTAACACTTCTTTGTTGCCAAACATTTACCACACACAGAGATGGAAGGAAACTCAGCTTGTGTGTCCCATTACCAAACCAGGTAGTGTCCCCCAAGCAAACAAAACTCCTTAACCATCTGAGCCACGCCAGCCAAGCCTGGGATCTCTGGGCAGAAGCCTAGCTTTTCGCTCCACTTTCCCTTCTGATTCAGACTGTGACTCAGAGGAGTTGGCCAGGCTACTGCTGCAGTAGGTCACGATTCTTCTGCCACTCTGCGTGGCATCAAGCTGTGACCCTAACCTTCTGCGGGGAGGGAATGCAGCAAGCCTTTACAGCGTAAGCGTTTAATGTCAATCCTGGTGTGCACCACGTGAGTAATTCCACTTAATCCGTGGATCAAAGATTTAGTGTAGCTACTATTACATTTCCAGAGTTAGAGATGAAGACACTGAATACAGACTCACAAAGACGTAAGCGCCAGAGACTCAAACTCTTTCTGGGCCCCGTGTTTGAAATCTGTGTATAAATCAAGAGACAAAGGGCAGGACTGGAAAGATGGTTCGGCAGTTAGGAGTGTTTGCTGTTCTTGCAGAGGACACTTGTTTGATTCCCAGCACCCACATGGCAGCTCACAACTGTCTGTCACTCCAGTTCCTGGGGATCTGATGCCCTCTTCTGGCCTCCACACTGGCCCTGCACGCACATGGTACACATACATACATGCAGGCAAAAGCACTCATACACACAATTTAAAAAAACTTTAAAGAGGCAAATGACCACTAGGCAGCACTATGCACATAATTACTTACGGAGTTATATATAAAATATTAAATGAGAGTTTAGATTTTTCTTAATTCTTCAAACTTTTTGGGTTATGGCAACAGATCTCTCAAATATTAAAATGAGGACATATATCCCCCCCCCCAAAAAAAACACCAAGCAGAATGCTACTTTAGTAGACACAAATCAGCAGGCCCGGATTTTCTGTACCCAAAGCTGTCAGGCAAGCCACTTTGGCTTTATCTCAGGGATCCTGTCCACTTACCTTTCAGCTCACCGACACTGCTGTATGGTTTACTGGCGAATTCTCTAATCTGCAGAAGATAAAACAGCCTGCTAGCAGTTCATATTCTTAATGAGAGTTGGACTGAACGAAGTTGGACATGGTTGGTAGTGAATTAACCTTTCCACTGAATCACCCCAACCTCTGCTCCTTGACAGAGGAAGGAGCTGTAGAAACTTAGTACATCAGATCTGGCTATTTCTCCAAGTGATCATGGGCAGACGTCTTACCTGCCTTCAAACATATTGTCTGCGGCATCTCTATGTCTAAGGTAGCTTTGGGGACAACCGCAGGGAGGAAATAGTCCACATCTATCATCTTCAAGGTGACATAAACTAAAGCCCTCTGCTCCCAGACCAAGGACCTGAGCACAGACTCCTCCATGGCGTACCTGCTGCTTCTGACTGAGGATCAGCTCATTCTGCTCCTGGAGCTTCTGATCTAACTCTTCTACCCGCCTCTTGTAGAAAACATTGTCTGCACTTAGATCCTCCATCATCGAGCTGCGAAGCTTCTCTATGTGTGACAGGAGCTGGAAAGACAATGGGGAAGGATATGTCGGCAAGGTGCAGGTATGGTTGCGGATTGTGTGAGCCTGTCTTGACTCCTCTGCTGGCTTTATGCGGTCTCTGTGTGCTGAGTCATACAGAAAATCTTCAGTCAATGCCCGTCAAGGCCCTGGCTGTGCTAGACTTCATCTCTTCCCAGGGGTTTATGGTCTGAGACAGGTGAGCAGCTGAGTCAACTTGAGCACATTCCATGGACTAACGCACAGCTGCTTGGTGACCAAGGACAAGGGTCTTTCCTGGTACCCTGGTCTCACCTCCAGGATGAACTTCCCACACAGCCCTGTCCCCTGCCCTCATATCCACATGCAACATGCCAGCTCAACTGGGCAATCATGGATCAGCAGTCATCATAATCACGGCCCACACAGGTAGGAGCTTCAGGAATAGAGGGAGAAGGGATGAATCAGTGATGTGGGATTCCCCTTTGGATGCTGTGAATGTGTTTTATTGTCATTGGTTAATACAGAAACTGCTTCTGGCCAATGGCTTAACAGAATATAGCCAGGTTGGAAAAGATATAGAGAGAGAGTAGGCAGAGTCAGTGAGAAGCCATGGAGCCGCCCACAGGGGACAGTTGCACTGGAACCTTGCTGGTAAGCCACAGCCACATGGCGATACACAGATTAATAGAGATGGGTTAATTTAAGATATAAGAGCTAGCCAGAAATACACTTAAGCTACTGAGCAGACAGTGTTTCAATTAATACAGATTTCGGTGTGATTATTTCGGGAGGCTGGGTGACCAGGAAACAAGCAGCCCCCCCTCAAAAAAAAAACAACTGAGTCAGAGAAAGAGAGGTAAAATGTGCATAGATTCATCACTAGAGACCATAATGGTCGATCTCTTTTTCTTTTCATTTGTATAAGTGTGTGGTCTCTGCGTGTGTATGTGTGTGCACATGCATGTGAGAACACACACATATGTGCCCAAGTCCACAAGGAGGTCCAAGATTGATACTGGTGTCTTCCTCCATCATCATTCCTTATCTTACTTAGGGCAGAATCTCTCAACTCACCCCTGAACTGGCTGACATGGTTAACCCGATGGCCTTCAGAGGCGGATATTACAGGGGGGCAGCCACGTTGGCTAAGCATTTTTGCAGGCTCTGGGGACCTGAACTCCTGTCCTCTTGTTTGCGTGGCAAGCTCTTTAACTGCAGAGCCAACCCCTCAGCCCATAGGATGGCAATCTTGCCAGCTTAATGGGATTTAGAGTTCCCACAGAAATGAGCTTCTAAGCCTGTCTGTAAAGGATTTTCCCAACGAAGTTCACTGCAATGGGAAGACCCACCTTGAATGTGGGCGCCATTGTATGGGACCCGAATTGAGTAAGAAGTGGAAGGGGACCAGAGCAGTGACAGTCACTCCTCCCATTCCCGACAGTCAGGTTTAACACAGTCAGCTGCCTGAAGCTCCTGCCTCCATCTGTTCCTAGCGTGGCAGGCTGCATCCTCCAAGTGTGGACCAGAGTAAGCCCTTCCTGAAGTGGCATTTGCCAGGCATTTCACCACACTTGCCCATAAACTGGCATAGAAACTTAACGCCAGGGGAGATTATACACTGGTAATTCAAGTCATTTCAGGGGTTGAAAGAACAGAAGAGGTAAAGAAAAACAAAACGAAACAAAACCCAGCTTGGTCACTGGTACTCAGGACACTGTGCATCTAACATGTCCTGATGTGAAGAGAGAGGGTGGGGCTGATCACACCGAGGGAAACATCTTTGTTTGAGGAGAGGATCTGAGGGTCCAGATGGGCATTTTCTAATGCACTTGTTTGGTTTTTTTGAAAGATGTATTTTTAACTATGTGTATAGTGTCTGCCTGTGCACATGAGTGTAGGGACCTAAAGAGGCTAGAGGCGTTGTGAGATACTGACACAGGAAAACTTAACTTGGGTCCTCCTGAAGAACTGTGTGTGCTTTTGACCAATGAACCGTCCCTCTGTCTGATTGTGCATTTTTAAATCAACACTTACTATGACACTATACATTCCCGTGTCTTGTTTACTCCAATGGTGCTACAGAAATGCAATCTAGGTTCACAGTACAATGTGGAAACTCAGGTTTTAGAGGACAACATACATGACTCGAATTCAGAGAGCGGGGACAGGCAAAGTTGGCCTTGAACTTCCACATTTGGCTTCAGAGTCAAGGTTCCACGCGTGGCAAGGTCTTGCCTGTGAGGTTCTCTGTGTTCCCGAAAGTGCACATGGAAACACTGAGCTGAAGTATGTGGGAGGCCAGAAAAGAACCCCTCAGAGGCTGGTGTATTCTAAGAATCCACCAAGAACCAAGTGTCAAGAGAGCAAGTGTCAAGCACATGGAAGGCAAGAGGCAGGCGGATTTCTGTGACTTCAAAGCCAGCTTCATCTACTTTTGAGTCTAAAACAGCCAGGGTTACTTAGTGAGACCCTGTCTCAAGACAAATCAAAAACAAACTCTCTCCACAGTCCTAGATGGTTGAAAGGGCATGACCCCATCACCCCCAAAAGCCATCTGAGAAATACATAGCTAGAAATCAGAAAGAAATTCTAGTAAAATGGCTCAGGATTTTGGATAGAGGTTTAGGACCTTGGACCAGATCACCACATTGAGGAGGGCTGGCCCCCAAGAAGCAAGAGACCCCAGGAAAAAAAATCAGGGGGTAACATTATTGTGACACCATAGTAAAGAATGGGTTACAAAGGCAAAAACAAGAATACGGTGAGAGAGGGATTTGAAAAGCTTAGACAAGAAGGTCAGACACCACCTCACGAAGCCTGTGTGTGTGTGTGTGTGTGTATGTGTGTGTGCATGCGCATGTATGTGTGTATGTGTGTGTGTATGTGTGTATATATGTGTGTGTGTGCGCGCGCGCGTGTGTGTATGTGTGTGTGCGTGCGCATGTATGTGTGTATGTGTGTATATGTATGTGTGTGCGCGCGCACGTGTGTGTATGTGCGTGTGCATGTATGTGTGTATGTGTGTGTATGTGTGTATATATGTGTGTGTGTGCGTGTGTGTATGTGTGTGTATGTGTGTGTGTGTGCGTGCGCGCACGTGTGTGTGTATGTGTGTGTGTGTATGTGTGCGTGTGCGCGCATTTCAAGCCCTCTGCTATCCTCTATAGCCTCACTCATAACACCAGACTCCTCTGTCACCACATGTGACCATAACACACCTCCTGGGCTCTCAGGCAGGGTCAGAAAGGTCACACCACCGATTATCCATGACTCCCTTTGAACTCCTACCAATGTTATTTAAAAGAAAGACAGACTGCCAAGAGCCTAGGAAAAGCAATATCAAGTTGGCACAGGCAACTTCCCCTAACCCAAGAAACAGTGCGCGCATTGTGGGGAGAGCAGGCGCCAATCATGTGGAATAATAGGTCTCAGGCAGAGACGGTTGCATGTGACTGAATTCAGCTCTCTGGTAGGGTGTGAGACAGAGAAGCAAGCAGCTCCTAAACAGCTGAAGCAGCGAAGGAGCAGTGAATCCCGGCCGGGCAGGAGACTGTGCACAAGCCAGCCTTAGTTTAGAGGGAACCGCGGGGATGAGCTTCTAGCAAAAGGCAGCAAAAGGGAAGAAGATCACAGGCCATGAACCCACAATGCTGACTTTCAGCTGTCTTGCTCCTGAGTCCTCCCAACAGAGGAGGAAGAAAACAATGAGTGACATGCCCAGAGGGCTTGAGTGACACTCCCACGGGCCAATGATCATGTCAGGGGCTTTAGTGGGCCAGTGCAGCTACCAGAAGCTAACCCAGGCTAGCCATAGGCGCTCTGAAGGAGAACACAGCTTAGGCAATGTTCTGAGTACAGCTTGCGGATTCATGAGCTGTGGCCCCATCCAAGCCGTGCCTCCGACTCCTGTCCCACAGAAAGTGTGAGATGACTAATGTGAATGATTTAAGGCTGAATTTGTAACAGTCTGCCACAGTGAGTAGAAAACCGACAGAGAAGGGAAGCAGCCGTGAAAAGAACAAACGGATAGGCTTTCCCGTATGTTTTTCAAAAAGAACAGGAGCTGGGCGGTGGTGGCACACGCCTTTAATCCCAGCACTCAGGAGGCAGAGGCAGGTGGATGGATCTCTGTGAGTTCGAGGCCAGCCTGGTCTACAGAGCTAGTTCCGGGACAACTAGGGCTGTTACACAGCGAAACCCTGTCTTAAAAAAACAAAAAAGAGACCAGGACGAGTCTAGAAAAATCAGTGGGTAAAGTACATGAACACCAGCAAGAGGAACAGAGTTCAGATTGGGCTGCTGTTCTTGGGAGGTGGTGACCCCGAATCCCTGGAATGAGGCAACGGACCAGACAAACCCCCACATCATCAAGAATCCAGGCTCGGCAAGAGGTCCTGTCAGGAAATAAACTGGAGACAGACTGGGGAAGACATCCTCAATATCAACCTGTGCCCCCACACACAGTGCACATAGGACCACATGGCATGTGAACATGCGTACACACACACATGCACACACACACA